GATGGTAAGTAATTACCCGCCCATGAGCACCCGCAATACCAGGGGAATTGCAAGTGCGTTGACAGCTTGTTTAAAAGGAACAAGCTCTTTTCTGTCCGTTAGAAGACAGAAGGGAATTGTTAGTAATATAGACTAATAACCTTATAGCTAACAAAGTGCCATGTCAGGATGACTTGAACTCAGTTGCCCTAGGGGGAAGGGGATTGTTAGTAATGTGGATTGATAACCCCATTGCTAGCAATGTACCATATCAGGTCGACCTCCACGCGGTTCCCCCTGGAAACAATCGTGTTAAATTCCAGGTGAATTCGTCACGATGGGCTAATTGACCTGACCTCATGCTCATCTTATCATCCTCCACTGGTGCCCCGCCAGCGTAAACCGTTAGCGCAGGCGGGTGCATCATTCCATTATCAAAAAAAAAAAAAACTCAGTTGCCCTTAAATATCGTGATAAATTCCTGATGAATATCACGATCATCCTCCACTGGTGCCCCAGCATATTTTTTTAAAGCAGACGGGTGCCCTATTCCATTATCATCCATGGAAATAAATGACAGTTCTTTCAATGAACATGAAATACGTTGCTAGTGAATCCCTCATGCGGGGATCCCTCATAGAGGTTCGTGTGAAAGAAAATATTAAGAAAGCTTCGTAGAACATTAGAAGTTAATTGCGAAAATATTAAAAGTCAAGTCAGGACATGTTGGGTCGGTTAGTAAGAATATAAAAACCTCATTAATAAAACAGCTATATCTCTCTTCACATTTTCATGCTTTTTCAAGGATTTTCCTTCCTTTTTCGTTACTAGCTACCCGCCCTGGCTTCACACAGGTGTACATGAAATATACATATAAATATTCCTCTTAAATCACTCTATTTATGGCTGAAATTGCGTTAAAATCCGTTGTATAATTTAAAAGATATAAATGAAAAGACAGCAGTGGCGATTTTGTTTTATACATGTACCTAAAGAGAACAAATATTTAAAAAACGAAAAACTAATTAAGTATAACGAATAATAACGCTTAAAACTATTAACGCGCTATTAATATAACGTTATTGCGAACCATTTTCTTTGCCCAACGCTACATCTTAATTTACTACAGAAAGTCGCAGTATGGCTACCGACTTTTTCAATAAAAGTGGCAACATCTGGCCGAACACTTAAGCGCGGGGGCGTGAAGGGGACGTCGATATGACGCGATATACAAGTGAGAAAAGGACGGAACTACATAGGGAGTCCAGCTACGGAATTAATATGTCCTTTTCTGGAACGCAAGTTGCTTTATTATTGATACTGCTGATATTTCTCTATTATTACATTTTTTGTCTCTAAGTATTGGACGCGAGCAATTACAAGAGGGGGATGTGGAAGGTGTCGATTCTAATATTTGCAGAAACATTACGAGACGCGTTATATTATTAAGTTACTTATTTATAAATACTAGTAGTCGCCCAGTGGTTCAAATTCGAGCATAAGTAATTTAAATTATAAGTTTGAACATTATTAAGGTTCTATTATCAAAGAGTTGTACATAGATTACTTTGATAACAGTACAGAAACAAATTTGTTTTTTTTTGTTTCGTTTTTCACGTTTCAAGGAAAGGCAAAAGGACTCAGATTATACAGCCATAGAAACAAACTTCGATTATCGCTAATTTGACAATTAACATTATTTGACATTGACGTTTTATTATCAATCGTTTGTGTCTAATGTTTTTTTATTGATTTAATGTATTTTTTAACATTCTGCACTCATTTTCTATATAAACTATAAGTGTGCGACATTTCATACACCTCGTCCGCGCATTTTCTTAAAAAGAGGTACAAAGTTTGTGCTTTACGTATTAATATTATGACTTTTTATTTTTTTAAATGAATCTTCTTTAGGGATGTGCTTGACAAAAATTTAAACTGTTTCGATTTTAGTAACAGTTTTATATAAAACTGGTCTTATTTTTTTACGTTATGGTGGCATGTAATGATAGTAAGAGCACAGAATAGATAATATTATATAGTAAAGGTAAGGTGACACTCTTGTGGCAACATATTTTGTGAGCATCATTGTCTAGTAGTTTACTAGTCTAACTTGTAAAGAAAGGTCAGAGGTACACAATTACACATCTGGCTGAAACAAAAAGCACTTTCCGTGTCAATTTGTAGTTCTTACTGACTCTCCGGTGATTCTTACTGACTCATTGATGACAAACCAAATTATCCGAGAGTTGGCAATAACCGCGTGTGACGAATTGGATTCAAATATATCAAACGAAAATGTGGGTATATCATGTATTGCACACACAAGAAGGTTGTTATTTTTATGTTTTAAAAAACTCTTGTTTTATTGTTAGCATTATTAAAAAAAAAATACACTCGTAAAGGAATAAAATATAGAATTTCTAAACGATCAATATTCTTATTGTAAAAGAAGAGACATGAAAAACATTTCTAATCATAATCGTAATATGTCTTACTTGTTACTAATATTATAAACAGAAGTTTCTGTGTGTGGATGGATGAATGTTAGTTTCTCTTTCACGCAAAAGCTACTTTAATGAAACTTTACAATAATAGTGTATATATACTAATAGGCTATAAGCGTGTATCGCAACATAGGGTATTATATAAAACCTATGTTGCGATATGAATGTGGATGGATGGATGTTTGTTACTCTTTCACGCAATCTATGGGACACAGTCACCTAGATACATCAAAATAATATATATATTTTTTTCTCTCAAGGGGGGAATATCTATGGGACACAGTCATATATAATAATTGCATTTAATATGTCTAGTAAGACAAATTCAATATTGTCTACTAAGCACTGCTGTATCTAAACTGTGTCACCCCACCTTACAGTTTCCTATTTTTATTTAGTATATAAGATCATTATTTCTATGTATATATGTCAGTTTATCATCATCTGTAATATACATCGTCTCGACCAATAACATCGTATCATTCACCCGCAACAAACTACTTACAATAATATAGCGTATATAACTGATGGGCTACAATTTTTATGCGGCTGAAACCGCAGGCACATAGTATCGCAACATAGGTATTGTTTAACACTAACATATATACATACATATAGCATGTATCAGAACACGCGGGTGAAACCGCGAGCAAATAGCTAGTATATATATATATATACCCCCGGTAGTCCGACAATCATTTTAGTGTCGGACTATCGAATTTGTCGGATTATAGAGTACTGCCTAAGACCCCTTATAGTCCGAATTTTTTTACAAAAGAGCACCTTGTAACCCGACAAATTATAGATCCAATGATGATTCTTTATATTATATACATATACAGTGGACCCCCGGTTATCCGACAAACGTTTTTCAGGGCAGTGTCGGACCATCGTATCTGTCGGATTACAGAGTACTGCTTAAGGGTCCTCTGCTTATAGTCCGGAATTTTTTACAAAAGAGTATCTTGTAATCCGACAAATTACAGATCCAGTGATAAGATTCTATGTTATATATATTATATATACTGAAGTATATTGTCAAAGTAATATTCAATAACAAATAATAGAAACGGATTACAAGGGGGGCCGGTAGACACTGTACATATATATAATTATAACAAGGATATATATTATATATACCCAAAAACTAGGTAACCATTTTAAATTAACAAGGAAATATTAATTGGTCTCTATTTTTTTAGTCTTTCTGAATAGAGTCACAGCGAGACACCAAGTGAGCCCTTCTTTAAATAACAATTAATTATTATTAAAGATAATGTATATGTATATATTTGTATAAATTCACTATTTGTTATTATACTCTTGTTAATTAATTTCATATTCTCTGTTAACTTTATAATGTGTTATTGCCTTTATACGTAATGATGTAATTTTTTATAATTAGTCTGTTGTTATTTCTGAAGCCAGTCAGTGGCTTAGTATGATGTTTATATTAATTTTATTTAAGATATCATTTTCTTGACATATTTGACATTATTTTACCATATATGATTGCTTTACACTTCAACATATCTGATGGCAAGGAATCTCCCCATGATGAAAATAATTATTTAAATTCAGTTTTAAAATAGGAACAATAAACCAAAATATTCATATAGGATTTACTTAAATAGCCTTGGTTTTCCTTTAATAAATAAATAAATAGGACAAGTAAGTGGAGAAATCTAAAGACGTACGAGTACGGTATATAGCGATTTTCATCTCTACTACCAGACATTAAATATAACTTAATCGGTTATTTAAATCCAAAGAGTACCGTAGTACCTTATACGGTTTTCCGTCGGGGGTTTTAGTTTTTAGTTTTGTAGATTTTAAACGCTTGCACATAAAAATGTTATGCTATAATAGTACTGTTTTTAAACCAGTTTTAATTAATATTTTCCAATTAAAATAGTTTATTTACATATAATTACTAATAAAAAAAATGTAATAAATTTACTTTGTTTCAATGTATTTTCTATAAGATGAGAAAGTGGAAACACTATCAGCACAAAATTAAAACTGTAAAACATATTATATGTATTGTAATAATAGCAATAATTGTAGTAGTGAAATAATAGCTTTTAAAATGAATCTGTGAATGATGATAAATATTTAATTTTCTGCCGTGGCATTACTTAATTAATTAAATTATAAACACTCAGATTTTAACTAATATTTCTTCGTTTCCTTTACATTTATTGTATTCGAGAATCAATTTAAGTATATTGATTTTTGTGCATAACTAATGATTTTGTCAAACCGAGGAACATTCGTTTGTTTTTAGAACAAATTTTCAAATTAAAATTAATTTTATAAAGTCATTAGCTGTGCTTGGGGTTTCAACTGCGTTAAATTTCAATAAAAAAATTGGTTATTTTAATGAATTAGCTATATTAGTGTAAAGTTTCATTAAAATCCGTTGAGTAGTTATTGCGTGATATAGTAACAAACCTCCATACTCACAAACTTTCAAGTTCATAATATTATTAAGATTCATATGTAACAACTTACCGTTGATGTTATTTTTCGCCGCACTGTCTTCCCGATCGCCTAAAATAGCACTGACACTAAATTTCAACATCGGCTTCTTCTGTTCGTGATTGTAGTCCTCACAGCTCCTAACCATATCGTCCGTATTGAATGGTTTCCCGTCCTTTGTTTCTCCTTCATCCCCGGAATTTTCTTGGTAACTATTCAGATGAAATCTCTTCTCTAACTCTTCTAATCGTCTGATTCCGGATTTCTTGCAATGGAACGGCGGACAATCGAACGCCCCACAACTTGTACATCTGCGTGATAGGCTCGGTATATTTAATACTTCCTTATCTGCGTTTCTGCTCTCTTCACTCCTGTAGTAATCACTATTATAGAAATTCTGTTCATTTTTTACATTATTGTAACCCTCTTCGTCGTCTCTGCTTTTCGAATCGTCGTCGTTCTCAATTTTAGCCTCTTCTGACTCGTCGTTTCTATTTGTTTCATCATCTAAATCAGCTTTACCGTCTTCCATCTCGGGGGAATTCTCCCTTGATCTCTCGTAATTTTGTCTTTGCAGAACATAGTTTTCAATTTGCTGATTCAAATATTGGTTGTGGAAATTAACGTTTTTCTGTTGATGCAAAATATTGTCGACTAGAAACGGTGATGTCATATTAAACGGGTTCGCGTTTGACTTGTTGTAACAAAGGTTTTGTATCGTCTTCAACATAATGTTGTGGTCCAAGCTTTTTTGGGCGACGAACGGATTCAACTTTAAAGGTCCATGTTTTAAATTTTCCGTTGGGTACATTATACGCTCATAATAAAAATAACAGTTAATTCTCGTATCAGTAACCAGTTATCGCATCGTTATTTCGAGATACATCACTATATTTTTTCAAATATTTGAAAATGTAATTCGAATATTCTAAATTCAAATTCGCTACATTCGACAACGCACATCGATTACAGAAGTAAACACGATATGAGTACACATGTGTACTCTCTATAGTGGGTATAGAGCAACTGACTTTCAAGGGAGTGGTTCTTTGAAGGGGCGGGTTTTCGAGCGCACGGGGTGGCTTTTTAGCAACGCTTTTGTGTGAACACTACCAATATAACTTGACCTACCCTCCTCTTATCTGTTCGTGCAATCGTGACCATAGTTATACGTTGTACTAAACAACAAAGTTCAAGTTATATTGGTATTGCAACGACTTACAAACTTACAGTTGCGTGTATTGTTATTCTATTATCAGCTTAACACTCCTATAAATAAGGCTTTATACAATTTGATAAGTTAGTTGAAACGATTTTGCAATTCTAACTGAGATATCTTTGTCTATGTGTGAATCATAGACAAGGGTTGAAAAGGTTGTAAGTGCTGCGAACGTTTTTTCATTGCGTTATCTGTTTTTGATTTGATTCATTGTTTTATTCAATTCAGATTTATTAAAGAGGTACTTTAGGCTGCGACTTTTGTTGATAAAATCCTTATTTAATGAACTATTTACGTAAACATTTTAAATATCATAAAAGTATTTTAGAAATAGAGTAGACATATTGCAATATTCATCTGAAAAAACTTCCCATAATATCGAAAGACATATTAAATATCCTTATTTAATAAACTAAACTAGTTACGTAAATATTCTAAATATATATATATGTACATATTAATCCGTATTTTAGAAGTAGCGTAGACAGACATATAGACAATTTTCGTCCCAAATACTTCCCGTTCTTCTACTCTTCTCTTACCTTCTCTTCTGACTCTTCTACTCATCGTTCTGAAAGACATTATTTAATTATATATACAATATTATATATATAGTATTAAATTATGAATTAGTAGCGATAATATATACTCGTATCGCAGCCCTGCTCGCGTAGAACATTACTCGGTGATAAAGTAACTTTCTAAGAAGACTTTTTTTTTAAAATAGATTTATCGTTTTTGTTATCATCCATAATATAAAAAAAATCGTTTTATAATGCTTTATATGTTAAAAAACAGAATTAAGTAAATTACTCAGTTAGTAATGGTATGTTAGTTGGTACGGAATGGTAGTTGACTACTATCATTCCGCACTGGCAATTTTATATATTTATATATAATGTATTTCCAACACTGTGAAGGGACTATGTTTGTTTTTAAGTTTTTGTACTTTATGTTGAGCTAAAAAGGACTTGTATCCAGAGCCGTAAAATATTAATAAAAATAAAAATATATATTCTTTTATCCATATTCAAAATATTATGTTCTTTATATACATTTTGTTTTATAAGAGTTCTGTCACTGCGCTCTGCTATAATAAACGTCTCTACACGCATCTCGATTATTTTCATTCCTATTACTACGATTTTGGTGATTCATGTACATGTATAGGTTGGTATTATTAGGGGGTGAAGGGGGGGGGGGGCTAGCAATGTACATGTTGACCTCTACGCGATTCTTCTCGTAAACCATCGTGATAAATACATGGTGAATTGACCACGATGGGCTAACTGACCTGACCTGTTCATCTTATCATCCTTCCCTGGTGCTCCACCAGCGTATACCGTTAGCGTAGGCAGGTACACCATTCCATTATCATCCATTAAAAAAAATACCATCAGGTTACCATCAGATTGTTATCCATTCCAAAGATATACATAAATATCATTGGAATATAATATATATATACAAGGTTGCCTACAAGAAATCGCTATTTAGCGATAAGGCCGCCCATTGTTACCTCCATATTGTAATCGTTAGGTTTTTTAATATTTGTTGTACATATAATTTATGTAATTGTAATTTTTTTTTTATGAGAGGAACAATAAAGAGTTTTTCATTCATTCATTCATTCATTCATATAATAGAAAGAATAGAATTTGGAGAATATAATAAAGTTTGTAATTTATATATTTTGTAGCATCTCGTAGTAACGTAGCACTGCTACGCCTCTACGGGAATGCTACGTAATAATCAGCGTAACCTCAATGTATAAACGCTACGGCGTAGACTATGTTATAAAAGAATATTATTAATATTATAATATTATTTCAGGATAATTCACACAGCGCCATCTAGTCCCAAGCTAAGCAGAGCTTGTGTTATGGGTACTAGACAACTGATATAAACAAAAGGATACATTTTTTTTGTAAATAAATACATATTATACATAGAAAACACCCAGACCGATACAAACAATCATACTCATGAATACAAAATATTTGTACCGTGCGAGGAATCGAACCCACGACCATCGGATAGTAAAGCGGTGTGCTAAACCACTAGACCACCGAGGTTGTCGAAAATTAATTCTAGTACTACGAATAAAACGTAGCAGGACATTATAGGTTTGTTCATCACATTAAAGGAGTGTGTTGTAGATGATCTTAAAAGGGAATTGTGTTTAAAAAAAATTGGACCGAATCGGCTTGATGTTGGTATGTACCACGATACTGGATCTGATCAGGATCAGATAGTACCGTGGTACATACCAACATAACAATATAACACAACACAACATAACATAACTTTTGTTACAGGTAACATCGCCAGCAATTTTTTTTTCACTGTACAGTAGAACATAATATTAGTAATAAGATACAATAGAACTGGCATTATCATATTAGTATATTTAACCGAATTAAAAAAGAGGATTCTGCGTTTGACTATATATACAATTTCTTATTTAGAAAATACAAGCTATTAGCCCCAGCGTATTACCGATGTACATGTGTTATACATATAAACCTTCCTCTTGAATCACTCTATCTACTGCTAATAATGGTATTAAAGTCCGTTGCGTAGTTTAAAAGATATACCTAAGCGAATAGACAGCGGAAACAACTTTATTTTGTAACACGTAAAGAACGAACTACAGAATTGCCGAAGATTTCGAGTATTTTCATTAATTGTGTAATATTTTCTTTTAATTTCTAAAAGTTTAAGGAGTTTTGTGGAAGAAATTGTAAAATTATTTTACGTACATCATAAATTGGAATAAGAAAATTAAACAAGAATTAATTTATTTATCTAAAGGATCTGACATTATGACACAAATAGGTACATATTTAAATAAAGATAGTATTTGAAGATATTTCTTTATAATAGTTACATAAGTTTTATATTATATCTACTACAAACGACTGAATTTAGTTTAGTTATTTTCAACTATATAGCTGAAGTAAATGTTTATTAACAGAAATAATTTATAAGCAAAATAAAAAAAAAACTGTACGTGACATATTCATAGTCTATGGTCTGTCCAAGCAACGGTTATGGAGGTTGGAAACAAGGAAAAGCGCGCGCGACCTGAAGAAAAAGGCTTCCAATTTTGAAATTAGCCACACCCCTCACGCTATGTTATTGGCTGACTCCCTCGTAACCAAACGGCTTAAACAACATCACGTTAATACGCAATTTTTAACCTTATTTGTATGTGCACACAGTACAATATAGTTTTGATATTATTTTGAAATATAATCCAATAAAAAGGCAGTAAGTGAATGGTCTATGAATTTTATGGCCGTTGTGTTTGAGGGCTGAGGGAGACTGATGACGTCACAAGACGGTGGGTTATTTTAATTTAGATACTTTGTTTATGAAAATTAATATAGACTTTAAAGGGATTTCCGTTTGAATGAGTAACAAACTAGCGACGACCGCCGCGCGGCGTTGTCTGAATATGAGTAGCTGTTACATAATGTATATTTGTGCATGCAAAGTGTGGCTCTCTGGAGCAATAATATACCATTATTGCTCCAGAGAGAGACTTTACACATCTTCACGACTGCATTCCCAAATGAGGAAGGCAGATTTAATTCTAACGGCCATGCAACACTTCATATGCCCATACATTTTCTATACCTAATTAGTAAAAATCACGGGATCTTACCACGTTTTATTTTTATTCAGTTATTGGGAACTCAATAAAAATAAAATGTAAGATACGAAGATTTTTACTAATTATACGTATAAATATTGATGGCGTCAAATTTGTTAGTTAAATTTACAATGCTATATGTCGACATATATTCAATTTCATAATAAAGTTAAGCAAAGTATGCTTTAAGTAATGCTTGTGTTATGGATAATAAACAACTGATAGTTTTTTGTAAACACCCAACCCAATACAAACAATTGTTATAAATAAAAATATTTGGACCGTGCGAGGAATCGAAACCGCAATCATCGGAACTAAAGCGCTGTGCTAAACAATTAAACCACCAATGTGGTCAAAATCAAATAAGTTTGTCAAAATTACGATGACAAACATAGCCTATCTTAAAAAAGCAGTCGATGTCGCGGGTAACATCTAGTGTTAGTACAAAAAGTATAATCCAAACGTAAGCAAAGTTAATCTGACAAAGGGTCCCCATTCACTCTATTCATATCGTACTCTGATATTATTACAATTATATTAATTTGTCACGGACAGTCGGAAGGGGTGGCAACTGTCAAAACAATATTAACAACAGTTGCAGTGATTCCAGACCTACATAATATCTCATATTACTTTTACTTAAATAAGTTCGCTTGAACTCTAAGACCTGGGGGGAAAGGGAATTGTTAGTAATGTGGACTGACGATCTTATTGCTAGCAATGTACCACGTCAGGTTGACCTCCACGCGGTTCCCCTGGAAACCATCGTGATAAATTCTCGGTGAATTAAAAAGTATAAAATTAAAACTGAAAATAAGTTTGTTAAAAAAGATGACAAACATAGCCTATCTTAAAAAAGCAATCGATGTCGCTTGTAACACAGTGTTGTACAATAAATAATCCAAACGTAAGCAAAGTTCAATTACTTTTACTA